CCCAGGTAGAGGGTTTGTAAGAGCGGAATTATTGATCGTACCGTACGGCACAGTGTTACCTCCAGTCAACACGGCATAGCTGCATGATGATGCAATCCCAGGATAGACCCGTTAAACCAACATACTTCAGCCAAGTCCCCGGTAGCTCAGTCGGTTAAGCGGCGTGGTTGCGTGGTATACATGTGGAGTTCGTATCCCGCTGGCGTCTCAAACTTTTTTATAGTAGGGGTAATGGTAGCAAGAGCTAAGGGTCCGACCAAAGCCTTATTTGGGAAATAAGGCTTTGCAGAGGCTTTTGTTGGACTTGGTCCAAAACCCCCATTGTATATACTTCTTTACTTTCTTTGAAATTCAATTCATGTTCGCTGTAATTTTCTGCATTTAGATCTGTATAGTATTCAAAAAAAAGTTTTGGTATCAGGCATCGCGATGTTATCTTTCGAGTTTCTATCTTCCCAGAAATTCCCAGTATTCTTTCGGTGACTTTTTCATTTTTTCTCTAAACATATTTTCAAGAGATATCCTATGCTTTCTAATATGTTCATCTAGGCATTTCTTGTAAGCTCTCGATTCGGTGCGTAGGTTTTGAAGATTAGACTGTGATTTATTTTCCTTAACTTTTCGTTTTGCTTTATGGAATCTTTTTCTGAACTTTCTACATTTTGTATTCAACCACGGCTTGTTCTTACGATAGCGGGTTGTGTATTTCATATGTTGTCGTGTCCCAAATGTTTCACGTGCAGCATTAACAAGCACGTGCGCGAAGCGATCGGAGAGCGTGTTGATAATCGATAAATCTTCATGGTTGGATACTGCTGTACGGACAAGATTTGTAAGTTTATTTACTTTATTCATGTCAACATTTTGTCGAAAAGTTGCTTTTTTATGGAGATTATAACGTTTAGGTTTAGCCGTTTTACTATTATCTACATGATGAATAAGTTTAGGTTCCTTTACTACATCGGGAATAGACTTGCTTTTCAGTGTAAACGATAATGGGCAGTGAACATCTGACGTGAGGGGAGAAAAGTCTAAAACATCAAAATCGGTAAAATTTTTTAACTTTTGGGGGAAGTAAGAACATAATCGATTAAACTTTTGTCATTACAAGTTAATTTCCCAATATGTTTATCATTTTCCACCCTTCCATTTACAATGAATAAATTCAAATTCTTACAAATATCTATAAGTGCATAACCAAAATTGTTTACTTTACCGACATCTTGAGATGATCTTTCTAGAGGAAGGTTTAAATCATGTAAATATTTCTCAGGGCATATATCTCCAGTTTCATCTAAATCAAACTGTTCAGTAAGAAAGGCATCGTATACAGAATAATCACATAAGGTATTTGTTCTGGAGTTGAAGTCACCCATTAGAGTAACATATTCACTTTTCATAAGCTTGTGCATAATTGAATGTTCTAGGTTGAGGAAAGTGTCATTCGTAACATATCTGGATCCGTCCGGGGAGATATACACTATTCCTAAATAGTGATCTTGCTCAATATCAAATAAAGTTTTTGACAGTTTTAGCCACATTACATAATCATTATCCTTCTCTACTAATGTAATAAAATCTTTGTACTCGTTCTTAACAGCTATTCCAATTCCTCCTGATTTTCTGTTAGTTTTTACTCTATTCCTGAGCGATAGTGTATACCCATCAAGATGTATGTCATCTCATTCATTTGTTTTAGTTTCTTGCAGTCCAAAAATATGTTTACTTTCTATAAGGTTAACAAATCCCGAATACTCTAATCTTAGTCCACATACATTAACACTTAAAAACTTAAGAGCGAAATAGTTAAAAATGCAGTCATCATCATCATCATCATCATCATCATTATCATCATCATCATCATCATCATCATCATCATCATCATCATCATCATCATCATCATCATCATCATCATCATCATCACCACCACCATCACCACCACCATAATCATCAGCGTTAGTATCATAAATGTCAACATCGACATTATCTACAACATGTTTATCAACATCTACAATATTATCATCTTCATCAGTTATGTCAATATGAGCATCTACAGTATTTGTATCAACATCTTCGATTCCAGAAGCATCATTATTTACACTTCTGTTGATGTATTTAATTTTGTTAACAGTTTCGGAAACATCATTATTTACACTTCTGTTGATATGTTTCATTTTATCTTTATTTTCAGAACCAACAATATTTATACTTCTGTTGAGATGTTTAGTTTTGTCGTCAATTTCAGAAACATCATTGTTTACACTTCTGTTGATATGTTTCATTTTGTAATTAAATTCAGAAACATCACTGTTTACACTTCTGTTGGTATGTTTCACTTTATCATTAGTTTCAGAAATATCGTTATTTACATTTCTGTTGATATGTTTCAATTTGTCATCAATTACAGAAGCAACGTTATTTACACTTCTGTTGATATGTTTCACTTTATCATTAGTTTCAGAAATATTGTTATTTACATTTCTGTTGATATGTTTCATTTTGTCATCAGTTTCAGAAATATCGTTATTTACACTTCTATTGATATGTTTCATTTTGCCATCAATTTCAGAAACATCATTATTTACACTTCTGTTGATATGTTTAATTTTGTCGTTAGATTCAGAAACATCATTATTTACACTTCTGTTGATATGTTTCATTTTGCCATCAATTACAGAAACATCATTATTTACACTTTTGTTGATATGTTTCATTTTGTCGTTAGATTCAGAAACATCATTATTTACACTTCTGTTGATATGTTTCATTTTGCCATCAATTTCAGAAACATCATTATTTACACTTTTGTTGATTTGTTTCATTTTGTCTTCACGAATATCAACAGCATTACTATTTATAATTTCATTGGCTTCAACAATTTTATCGTCAATAATGTCAATAGCATCAAGACAAACCACATTATTTTGGTCTGCAATATTAACATCACTGTGTTCAGGGTACACATGAGAGCCATTGCAAATGGGAGTCATTGATGTATTTGCTTTGGCTTATGTGGCAATACTGACTAGGTATCGATCATATGAGGTCTCAGTATTTTGTACTTCTGTCTTTAATGAAAACTGGGGTATTTGTGAGTCACTTTTGGAGGTTTGGAGTTCACATGAGTGAGTGTCATATTGTTCTGGTGGATAATATACAGAGGGGGATGCAGGCCATGTAGTACTGACTGACTCAAGCTCCTGCCCACCGACGTCTCCCTACGTTGGTTTCTGTATGGGATGGCTGGGTCCCTGGGGTACTCTGTAGGGGGGAGGGACAGGGGACTGGAGGGTATTCTCAACACATAGCTTGTCTACTACAATCACTGCCTTCTTCCCGCTTTTCCTAGCCTCCCTCAACAGAGGCATCAGAACATTCTTTCTATAGTCACTGATTTCTTCCGGGAATTGTTCCACAATATGGAATGGTTTTCCTTTCAACATTTTCCCACATTTCTTAACACTATCTCTCTCTTTTGTGATAAGAAGTTTTGCAATGATGGGTCGAGGTCTGATAGACTCCCCATGATATCGTGGACTGCGTTTAGGTCCTATTCTGTGAACACGTTTAAATTGAATCTTGTCACCATCCTCATGTTTTAATTCATCTTTGACAAAGTTTCTCAGTACTTGTTCACAGTCTTCGAAAGGTTGAGTTGTTGTAGCTACGTACTCAGGGATGTTGGTGAATATGAGATTATCTCTCATAGATCGGCAACGTTGGTCTACGAGGGCTTCACGGAGGCTTAGATTGTTATTTGGGCTGCTAGCTGACTTGGCCCTAATATCAGCGATTTGTTTTTCCATTTCCACTTTGTTCAGTTTTAGATCATCATAACTGTCACTGAGAAACCCTGCGCTTTCTTCCAAAGCATTGACCCTTTCTCTAACATCGTCAATATCTTTCACTTTTAGTTCCAAGTTAGCAATGTTTGTCTTAATGTCATTCACATCTTTCACTATTGAGTCCAACTTAGAAAGTTTGTGATCCATGGACTCTAACCTGGCCAAGATGGCTGCCGAGGTTGAGTCAAGGCAAGGGCTGGGGGGTAGAGGTTGTGCGAGAGGGTTGCGGAGAAACGGTACCTGACTTATATATTGTCCTTGTGGGGTAGTGAAAACAGTCTGCTGGTTGGGCGTGTAGATAGTCTGGAGAGATTCTCCCACGATGTTGGCTGTGCTACCCGGTGTTGACGTGGCCATTGTTGACGTGTCACCTGTAGTCTTCTCGCTGATTTCGGTAGGTGAGGTAGACTGTTTATGTCGTTTTCGGCCCTTCTTATCACTTTCAGGTGATATGAACTTCTTTCCCATACTTTGTAGACAACTTTGGAGTATTTTGAGACAGTTTACATTAAAATCGTGTTGATTCAATCAGATGGAGACACAAACACGTCTTGTCACCTCGACGCATGCTCAGCCTGGACCCAGACCCTGGACGATCCTTTACCTCGTGAATTTGCTCCTGGTCATCTACCAGACTATAATTCAAGAAAATTGCGAATACAGTAATACAGTTGTCCGCTAAATAAATCTGTATTGATGAAGATAGAATGTCATTCCAGTGCATTTGGACCTTCTGTATTGAACACGATGTCATGGTAGGTGAAAAAGAACTTTTTCTTCCAACTGTTTTTCCCTCGCCATGACACCTTCTTGTTCAATACATAAGGCCAAATATCACTGGTATTGCGTATTATATACACATGAAAGATGTATACATATATATATATTAGGTATGTTTATATTCTACGTCTCAGCTTCCTCATATATAGTTTGACCACGACGATGTATTTGGTATGAGTTTTATAAGAAGCTTTACATTACGCAAGATACACGAGACACATTGGTTTCAAGGGAAAATTGCAATTAATTACACTTCGACTTCACCAACAATGCATTACTCGGCAGTATTGAATTACGTTTGTACAAATTTCTTCTCTAGTTTGTTGAAGGAGAAATGTCCTCTTTCATGTTAAAACCATTATTTTACCTTTGCAGTTGGAGCAACATCAACTGCAACACCACCAACGTCAACGCCTGCATGTGCGCATATTCATACTCTGTGTTATCCCTGTTTTGTAATTCTATGGATTAATAATTTTTAAAGAATCATTTCAACATTCTTGGCATTATAAAATTCCAGTGATCGAACCATATGAAATGATTTTTGGATAGAAAAAGAATCCATTAGAAGGAGAATTTGACATTGTGTATTGTTAATGCTTTCAGCATCTCCAACTACATCGACATCGACAGGTGTGTGTATTTTATAGATTCATAAATACCTGACGCTATGTTTACTGCAGTTGTAAGATCTATTTGTTTCCAGTTAAACATGTAGCTGAAAATATATCTGTCAAAGTTTATTTTGTGACCTCTTTGTTACAGTAGGTCATTTAACATTAACCATTGGTCATTCAGTTCAAACTGGTTTAGGTCTTTAGAGCAGTGATGCTTGTGATCCTAATGCTTACCCGTTTTGCTTCTTCCAGGAAGTGACACCACAACCACCTCCATCTCCTCCTCCATCACCACCTCCATCTCCACCTCCACCTCCATCGCCACCTCCATCACCACGTCCACCACTACACCTCCAACACCTGCATCTGTACCTGTGTACCTCATCATAGGTATAGTGATTGTGTTGCTCGTGCTGCTCATCATCATCTTTGTCCTGATTGTCTTTCGTAACAGAATCGCACGGGTTGCCCGGAAGTACAGCGTCACAAGGAAAAGGCCCAAGGTTCGGAACTTGAAGGAAAATGATAAACCCAACAAAGGGAAACGCATGTCCCAAATCAACCCTGACAAAAAGGCAGACTTTGATCAAAATGTTCTTGGATCCACCGCTGATCCTGCTTCAGAAGACAAAGGAGCATCAGTTAAAGAGATGGCGATATAGCCGATGGATGTAATAGAGACTCTGTTTTAAGGAAATTCGGGGATGTAAAACTATATGGTAGTCTGTTTTGAACAGCTTCTTATTATATGAATGAAAGTCCGAGATAATTGATCAAAACTTTCAGCTATTTTCATTTTGAAAATAATGATGCTCTTGCATTATGGAAAGTAAAAGAGACACATAGCAAACTTGACAGTCGGAGTGAAACACTTGGCTGTTATTGTGTCAATGAAATAGGATACTTAGTGTGCATTTGTTTCTCAATATTTTGAAGACGTGTTCTGAGAGTATATGTTGCTGTGGCACAAATTCAGATATTCCTACACTGACAAGAAACATTTAATCATGCTAGGAAACATCAGGACTACAAATCCATTGTTTGACACTTTGTAATGTGTACCGGATCAATATATGATAATAAGTCAACCAGGTATGTACATAGCAGTCAACAGGCTGCAAAGAACGTTCACCCTCATAAACTTGATTTCCCGAAATTAGTGTTACTGAAAGCCACAATTAATATTATTTTAGTGTTTGAATATTCTTATCATGTTGCATATCAGAAATATAATAATCAAACTACATCAACACTTGCAATTTGCAGTACTTGTTAAAACATCCATGTCATTCATTATTTTTTACGCCATTTGTGGTTCTTTTCAAAAGATATTGTAACTTGATGTTGTCCAAGCCACGCTTTATGACCAGTAGTATGTATAATCATGATTATATTCATTGATGTTTGTTTAAATTATTTACACCATTGTTTGTTTGATGTCTGAGTGAATACTATGTTTATTGATTTTTGTATTCAAAGTGCAGCTGGATGTACATATGTGTTTAAGCACCAGTTTGTGTCTGGTTATTTATGTTATGGAAAACGTACAGTGGTGTGATTTCGGGTTTTTAATGGACTGTGAACTATACTAAAACACATTGTACTGACTTTGCTTTATGACTAGAAAATTCATTATTAATCCGTGTGTTCTTTTTATCTTACCTCAGCCTCTATTACTTGTTTTTAGAACATTCTCATGTAATCAAGTATCTTTTGCTTCAAGCATATTTACGTCAGTCCTACTGTATTTGTATATCATATTATTATATTGTAATCCTTTTGACACCACAATGTCACATGTCATTCTAAGTTGTCACTTATGATGTCAAAGAAACATACGCTTTTCACATTGAAATTTGCTTTGTTGAGATTATATATTTTGCTGTATATATCGGACATTTTGTCTCATAGTTTTATTCTATTTACATTAGATATTGTGTGTTCTGGATTAATCCAACCAGTTTATATATGATTAGACCTTTCAGCAAGAAGCACATGACCTGTAATGAGTTTGGCTGTGTATGAATATTGATAACGCCCCACCCACCCACCTTGACCCCACAGGGGGGTTGTTGTAAGTGATGTCAGGCAAAACTAGTTGTGCCATTTCATCAATAATCGCCTGCCATGTATACTGAGGACAAATGTTTATTGTTTGTGTTGTTTTGGGTTCACCGTAAATAAACCGTGTTTATAACCCATCCGTCTTGCTTGTCTACCTGCGGATTATTTGTGACGAGGCATATATGTCAGGGGAATTACTGTTGCGTATTGATGGAAAAGTTAGCCATGGTGTAGTGGTTAGAGCGTCCGCCCAGAGAGCGGAAGGTCGCGGGTTCGATCCCGACCGCGTTATACCCAAAGACGTTGAAATATGGTTCTTGTTGGTACCTGTCTGGTTCTCGGCATTAATGGGTACAACAAGGACTGGTCGGCTCGGAGTCAGTATAATGTGTCTGAGTTGGGTATTCATGCTTCACTGCGGCATGGTATCTCAGTTGGCTAACACTATAAAACTAGCTTAAGTCTGGGCTAGTGCAAGCAGCTGCACATACACATACACACGCATGCACGTCGTCATTTGAGCGAAATATTCTCAAGCACGACGTTAAACCCACAGCACACCTCACCTCACCAGATCGGCTCAAGATGTTGTTTTGAGCGTCCGTCATCGACCACGTCTCATTACAACGTTCGTGCTTGCCTGAAGAGTTGGTTGGTTGGTTTGTTGTTTAACGACGCACTTAGCAATATAGCAGCTATATGTCGGCGGTCTGTAAATAATCGTGTCTGGACCAGACGATCCTGTGATCAACAACATTGATCTACACAATTGGGATACGGTGACATGTGTCAACCAAGTCAGCGAGCCTGACCACCCGATAAGGTTAGTCGCCTTTCACGACAACATGGGGTGCTGAAGATCAATTCTAACCCGGATCTTCACGGGTCTGCCTGAGGAGGTTTCACAGTCGTGACATTCTGTTGTATATATTTACCGGCCCTGATGCTACCAGTCCCTAGTATGGTGATCTACCTTCAGTTACTGGTGATCTATAACCTGTTTTTATATTGTAATGTCCTAAATAGTACATTCATTTAAGTCACATTCTACTTTTGTATCTCCAACTGTGACATTCTAGTTCTTTTATTGTCCTATTCAGACAGATTTTAAGATATAACATTATAAATTATTTCGATATGACCCTTTTAAGTCACGATATGGCTGAAATATTGCAAAAGTGACTATAAATTTTAACTCACTCAGTGATGCTACCAGTTAACTGCCCTTTTTGTACTGAACCTTCTGTACCGTTTCCACAACGGGGACACACGACCTCTAACAATGTACATGTACACTGACTCCATTGATCCATCACACCGTATTTACAAACTTTCCACGGGCACATGCCATTCATTATTCCGGTTTGTTAACTGCCATGTGGGTTTCATATCTGCCTTTTTAAATTATTTCCACATGTTTGTGTAATGTCCGTTTCACGTGCATGTGAGTTTAAGTACTCATTATCTAATTTCCACGTGCATGCCAGTTTCATATCTGCGTATATCTGTGCTGTAATTTCCACGTGCGTCCGCCCGGAGAGCGGAAGGTCGCGGGTTCGATCCCCGACCGCGTCTTACCAAAAGGCATCAACATATGGTATTTGTTTGTCCCTGTCTGGCGCTCGGTATTAATGGTTACAACAATGACTGGTCGGCTCGGAGTCAGTATAATGTATCTGAGTGGGGTATTCATGCTTCTCCTAGTCGCCCCCATTCCCGTGTACATAAAACACAACAAGCACACACTGAACAACAGGAACCGACGTGCGTTCCGCGGCCAATTTATTTACATTGTTTCATCACAAAACCTACATTCAACATTATGATACGTGAATAACGAAATGCATGCTGAAGCCCTACACCTAAACCAGAGATAACAACTCCCGTAGAGAAAAAACTCTGGAACCGTGTTCCCTCAACGAATGCAGCAGCAGCACCAAAAACTGGAGGGTTTACAGTATCGTTAACCTTAAACATGGACATAGCTGCAATCCAGCGATACGTTTATGTAGGTTGATGTGAGCATATGCACAACTGACAACAGCAGCATAAATTACATAAATATAAGCATTATTTACACAACATTCAAGCATACACCTGAGATTCATAATATACAGTATGCTGACAATTTCTGTCATCAAAACACAGGAGGTATTCAATGGACAATATCATAACCACCAATACATTATTCTCATATTACCGTAGTATAACCGCTCGACATTCCAAAATCATCGTATTATAACAGCTCGACAGCCAACATATGGTATACATTCCAACATTACCGTATTATAAAGGCTCGACAGCCGACATATGGTATACTTTCCAGTATTACAGTATTATAACGGCTCGACAGCCGACATATGGCATACAATACCATATTACCGTATTATAACGGCTCGACAGCCATAAACCATCATGGTTAAATCACTCATGCCACATCACACGAACGATGATCATGAGCATCTGAAACATACAGAAATACAATATTAGAATACAAACATGTTAAATGCTGAAAGGCCGGGAGTGCACTAATCGAGAATGCCAAATTCAAATATCTACACCCTTATATACTCCCATAACCCGCCACCTACCGGGCAGATAACCCATGTGAACACTTCATACCGCTAGAGAAAAATAATTTCCCTCTAATTCATACTTCAAACGATAGAAATAATATTTCTCCTAGTCGCCCCCATTCCCGTGTACATAAAACACAACAAGCACACACTGAACAACAGGAACCGACGTGCGTTCCGCAGCAGAGACTAGCAAAGAAAGTTAAAGGCCCAGGGATAAGGAGACTTTCATTCTGCTATTAATGCTGTCTTTGATGTAACCATCCTTAGCATTTTCGCTCTTCCAGCGCCCATGTCGTTTAAACATTCTGTCCGGTATCCCGTTATTTGCGGCTGCCGAAGCACCACCACTGCGCAGACTATGCAAACCATAGCTCTTAATATTAACCACGAAAGGTGACAAAGCTTCCAAGAAAATTTCCCTTAGTCTAGTATAGGATAAAGGAGCGTTAGTTTTTCTTAATTTATAACCATTACCAGTTTTAGTCAAACTTCTGAAAATGCATTCTTGAGACTCTGGTGAAATCTCCGCTGCTCTCAGGTATCTGTCGAGACATTCCACCGGACACAACTTAGAATGGGTCCGACTTATTACAAGCCATGCCCCATCTCTATATACATCTGTCTTCGACTTCTCAATAAAACAGTCATATGAGAATGAAAAAAGACAATATCTGATCTTGTTATATTTAAAAGTTCTGCTGATCTCATAAACCCAGAATAAGCCAGTAAACATACAGCTAATATTCTCAAATCCGCTAATGATGCATTTTCACTCCTGGAATCGTACACTTTATGCAGAATATCAATATCAACAGGCTCCTTCTTCGTTACAGGCTTAGCTAATTTACGTTTGGCTGCTTCTAGGACATTCTTTACCAAACCATTATCAGTGGGACTATCCATCCCCATGCTATAATGAGCATATCTCAAGCTATAATAAGCTGACATAACAGGCGATATAGTGTCACTTTGCTGTACAACCGACAACAAATATATAGCACAGTGTAGATGAGACACTGGTAGCTGACAAGGCATATCATTCAACTCTGCCCACCTTTTCCACGCAGCAAAAGCATTCTGGTACTTCTTATTAGTTGACTCAGCTCTAGCGTGCGATATCAACTCTGGTAAGGCTCCCGCCAGCTCCCTAACATTGACTGGCAATTCTTCCAAGTCTTCCTTATACAAGGATTTGAACACATCTGTAACATATATAAAACAATCAGGAAAAATCTACTAGCAGTGCCAACATATTAAAATGTAAATCATGTTCAAACATGCCACCTGGTATCCTACTTGGTACATAACATTGTTTTGACGATGGTAGATACATTACGTCCTTGACTTGTGGAATAAACACTGAGTTGCAACATATCAAAGGCCAAAAACATGCTGAATGCCATTCAGGCACTACCAGGGTTCCCTTAGCTCTGCACACAGACAAATGTTTCACTGCCCTAGGGATAAGCTGGATAGGGGGGACAACCCAGTTCATAGTCCCACTCCAGTCGACGGTAAAGCAGTCCACAGCTGTAGATCCTGGATTACTGAACATAGAGTTAAATTTTTCAGTTTTTGCGTTGTAATAGGAAGCAAACCTATCAACTTCATGCGGTCCCCATCTTTTGTCAACACATTGAAAAGTGGCCTTAGAAATCCCCCAGTCATCATAGTCAATCAAACGACTTAGGAAATCCGCCTCTTGATTCTCATTCCTCGGAATCCATTGCAAATGAAGATCAACACAGTGTTGCGTACACAACTCAAAAATCTCAAGAACTATTGACTGCAGGTGAACTTTCATACTTCCTTTCTCAATTATGGCTGCCACATTCTGATTGTCAGTGAACCACTTGACACTCTGTTTAGCTAATTGAGGCACAAAACTTTGAGCACCATATGCACCGCTGTTAATTCTCCATGTAGAACTTTGCATAGACTCGAGTCTGGACCACTGACCATGAGAAAATAAACCGTCTATCTCCACACAATATCCGCCGAACCCCGTGTTACTAGCGTCAGTATAGACTAATCTCTTGATGACTGTAGATGGGATCAACTCTCTGCTTTTATACTTCTGTATGTTGTTAGCCCAAAACGTGAGCTGTGTAACACTTCCTGCAGAAATATAAATATTACTGTTCCAGGTTGCAGCGGCAACAACATCAATACAAAGAGATCTAGTCATAAGCTGTGAAACGGATCCAATAACAAGTTTCATTGACACAATTTGACCAACAATGGAAGCAACACTTTTTACAGGAATCCTCTGTGTCTGACTTGACAACAACAACCTTATTGCTGTCAACACTTTCTCAATTTTTCTATCAGGAATAGTTAACATCATGGAAGAAGTGATGATATGAAATCCAAGCCATTCTAACGACTGTGATGGACACCAGAGAGATTTCTCCACCTTAGGAACGAACCCAGAACTGAACTAATCTAACTTTACTGCTGATCCAAACGAACTTGTTTCATGTTTAGAAGATCCCGCAAGAATTCCATCATCTAAAAATGTCACAATTCTCTTACCCTCGTACCTCCATTTCTTTA